GAAGAAGAAGAAGAGGAAGAAGAAGAAGAAGAAAAAAAAGAAGCGGAGGGGCGGACTCCGAGGCGGACGGCGACGGAAGCGCGAAGGCGGGCGGAGGAGAAAGAAGAAGAAGAAGAAGAAGAAGAAGAAGAATAAAAGAGGAACAACAAGAAGACGAAGAAAAAGAATAAGAAGAAGAAGAAACAAGAGGAAGAAAGAAGAAAGAAGTAAGAAGAAGAAGAAAAAGAAAAAGAAGAAGAAAGAAAGAACAAGAAGAAGAAAAAGGAGAAAGAAGAAAGAAGAAGAGGAAGAAAGAAGAAGAAGAAGAAGAAGAAGACGAAGAAGGCGGGGAAGAGGGGGAAGGCTACCTCCTCGCTCGCTCGCTGGCTTCCTCTTCCCTCGCTCCCTCCTCACTCCCTCCTCGTGCCCTTCTCGTGCCCTCCTCGCTCGCTCCCTCTCACTCCCTCCTCGATCCCTCCTTGCTCGCTCCCTCCTCGCTCGCTCCTCGCTCCCTCCTCGCTAGCTTTCTCGCTCCCTCCTCGCTCGCTCGCTTTTGCGCTCCTTCCTCGCTCACTTTTCCGCTCCCTCGTCGCTTCCTCCTCGCTCGCTTTCCCGCTCGCTCGCTCGCTTTCCCGCTTGCTCGCTCGCTTTCAAATTTCCCGCTCGCTTGCTTGCTCGCTCGCTTTCAAATTTCCCGCTCGCTCGCTTGCTCGCTCGACGGACTCCCAACCGAGGGTCGGATGCAGACAAAGTGACAAGGCACAAAGTCGAAGTCTTGGATTCCGAATCCCGAAACAGTAAGTCACACTAAGTACGAGTACAGCAGCAGAAAACTGGTATGAGACTTGTCCCCGTACCATACGGGGAGCCGGTATAAGTACCGGTGACACGTACAGTACCAGGGGTCAGACGCAGACACAGTGGCAAGGCACAAAGTCGAAGCCTTGGATTCGGAATGCCGAAACAGTAAGTCACACTGAGTATGAGTAGAAACTGGTATGAGACTTGTCCCCATACCGTACGGGGAGCCGGTATAAGTACCGGTGACACGTACGGTACCAGGGGCATGTCTGGAAAGGCCCCGAGGGCAGAACTGAAAAATATGGTATTTGAAAGTGGCGCCCGAATTGCAGCATGGCGCCCGTTGTCCAAAATCCTACGGTACCAAAGGAGGGGTTTGGAAAAGGGGTGACGAGATCCAACCGAAACAGCAAAAAGATAGACCAGGGATTGAGCCCTGACGGAGTCCGTAACAGGCCTACTCTGTCGGTCGGTCCGTCACCCAATTTGCGGGTCCACCCGCCGGCTGGTCGGTCGGGCCTCACCACTCCAACCGCCCTGCCAGGGCGCTACAAGGCAGGGGGGAAAATTGGCGGAATGCGGGGGGAACACGGGCGGAACGCGGGGGGAACGCGGGGGGGAGGGAAGGGGGGAAGAAAGAGGGGAAGACCCAAGAGCTTAGCTCAGTGGGTACACCACCCGTGTTCAAACCCAGATGCTGGAATTTGATGAGGAAAACCAAATTTTTTTTTTTTTTTTTTTAAACCACAAGTACTTGGCCCAGCTATCGCCCGGAGTAACCCTGGGGCCCCGTCATCTCAATGGTGTTATCTCAAGACCGTCACCCTTTTTGAAAATAGAGAAAAAAAGAAAAACAAAAAGAAGAGGGGGACGATGGCGGGGACGCAGACTGGCTGGAATTCGGGACGGGAGGGAGGGAGAAGGTGCAGGGAATGTGGGAAGGAGAAAAAGATGGCAGGAAGAAGAAGATGGCAAGTAGGAAAAGGAGAGGGGAAGCGGAGGAGTACGATGGTAAGGAGCTGGACTAGAAGGAGAAGGAGAGGGGAAGAGGAGTAAGAAGATGACAGTGGAAGGTTGTGTGTGTCTGTGTGAGGAGGAGGAAGGAAGAGTNAGTGGAAGGTTGTGTGTGTCTGTGTGAGGAGGAGGAAGGAAGAGTAAGATGGTAAGGAGCTGGACTAGTAGGAGAAGGAGAGGGGAAGAGGAGTAAGAAGATGACAGTGCAAGGTTGTGTGTATCTGTGTGAGGAGGAGGAAGGAAGAACATGGCAAGGAGGAAAAGGAGGCATCGAGTAGCCGGAGGAAGATGGTAAGGCTATGTGTGTTTGTGTGAGGAGGAGGAAGAACATAGCTGGAGGTTAAGGATGCGGGCAGCTCCTAAGAAATTACCAAATATAACATATCAGGCAGGTTACTAACACTGTCCTCAATCCTTACATCCAGGCAAGGAAGAGGACGAATCCAGAAAAACAGTCATCCAAGCGTTTGTATCATCCGTCTTCTTTAGATCGTCCTCCTCCTCAGCCAAAATCACACATGACTGTCGATTGGGCCAGCCCGTCTGGCCCCAAATGCATAAGTTCGGAGTTGTCCCTCCTGCGGCGGAGCACCAACCCCCGGGGGTTCTCTTCATCGCAATTTCTTTCGCTCGGGGAGTCAAACCCTTTGCAGACGACTTAGACATTAAAAAAAATAATAATAAAAAATTATGGACATAACCCTTTAATCTTAAGTTCACGCAAGAACGACAGTAAAAAGGTAGAAAAGCTCCTTTAAGGGTCGGAAAAAAACATATCTTGTTCGAGATTGGATTTTTGTGGGTTTTTTTCCGACCCTTAAAGGAGTGTTTCTACCATTTTGGTGTCGTTTTTGCTTGAACTTATAGGGCTATGTCTGTAACCTTGGCTTAGGAGGAGGACGGTGTAAAAAAGACGGATGAACAGGCCTACAATGACCTTTGCAAATGACATAAACGAGACAATTCAGGCAGGTTGCACCTACAATCCTAAATCCCTTTAGCAAGGTAAGGAACAAGAAGAAATAAGAAAGACAAGCCCTTGACAAAAATTCCACGTCGTACATTTTGCGTTCCTTCTCTGATATTTAAAGAACTGTTTTCTTCATTTCGTTGTCTTTGTTGTCTGTATCTGAACTGCAGCACTTTATCTAGAACGTTGGCGAATACTGCATGTTCTTCTCCGACCTTTCAAGGACTAGTTTTGTTTCCATTTCGCTTTCATTGCTATCTGAATCGGAACTACAGGGCTAGATCTCTAACCGTGGTTGTCAAGGAAGAACACGGAAAGAAGACTGTCCTTCACAACAACGGTTAGAGATATAGCCCTATAAATCCGAATCAGACAACATTGAAAGTGAAATGGAAAAAACTAGTCCTTTAAAGGTCGAAAAGAACATGCAGTGTTCGCCAAGGTTCTAGATAAAGTGCTACAGCTCCGATTCAGACAACAAAGACAACGAAATGAAAAAACAGTCCTCTAAAGGTCAAAGAACAATGTAAATAAAC